GATTAGTTGGTAAAAGGACTTCGTGTCGTCCAGTTCTGTCTGTAATCATACTCGTGATTAACAACTCGTGGTCCCGCTTCGCGGTTACCTGATTTTGTTTATCACTGGTATAATTACAGACCGAATTGTAATAAGCATAATGTTACATCTATTATGGAGCGCTCCTCCTTCTTTAACGATCCTCGTCACTTCTCACTTTTCTCTTTACCTCTCCTCAACGAAGAAATAATTATTTTAAGGTCTCCTCCTATCTTGACCTGTCTGAAGGCAACAACACTGTGAGGTAGTTCTTTCATGGAACGTGGCTTAGTGTTAAGGACATTTATGTGGGGAACATTTATATCCATCTCGGAAAGCATTTGTTATATATTTGGCAATATTTTCTTTCCTTATATCACATGATTAGACATACGGGAACTGTAGCTGTAGACCGAAATTGATTGGTAAGAAGTGTGATGTGTGCAGTCCAGGCTTCTTCGATGCAAAGCAGGGTTGTTTAGGTACGATTTCTATAATAATTGATTTGTAAGAAATAAGAATTTCTCAAATGGCTATTGTAAGCTGAACAATTATGGTCAAGACGGATAAGAATTTTGTGATAGCTGAAACGCACCCCACCCGGACACCACGTTTTCTCAGGCTACAGAAAAAGTGTGTAATCATGTACCTGATACTGCTACTAAGCGATCTCCATTTTATAGGGTCCGTAAATCAGTCTTCAAGAATCGAAACTAAAACTGCTTTAACCTTAGAATATTTCAGATATTCTGAAGGGAAACTTTTGAGAATAATACCTTTCCAGATGATCATAATTTGATTTGCAGCAGTACCAAATAAAAATAATAATAATGGTAGTAATAATAATAATAATAATAACAATAATAATAATAATAAAGAGGATGACGATAATAATGATGAAACGGCTAGTCATCACCGTGATCATGAGTAGCCGTTTCATTATTATTATCGTCATCCTCTTTATTATTATTGTTATTATTATTATTATTATTATTATTATTATTAAAAAAAGTTATTATTATTATTATTATTATTATGGAGCAGTTATCAATTGGCATCGAAAGTCTCCTTCGCAGCCGTTGTTTGGTCTCGTCACGCAACGTAGTGGGGGAGAGAACGTTGCGTGACGAGACTAAAATAGAATAAGATTGCTTTGGTTTTGCTTTACGTTGTCCCCTGATTGGCTTAGAAAACTCGAGCCACAAAGCGGATCAATCCTTTTGATGTTTTCCCCACTCTGATTGGCCGATATGATTCCTTTGCCTATGGTTTTTCGACGCTCAGTCGAAAGGTGCTCTCTTTATCATAGCTATATTGTACTAAAGGTCACATCATTTTTTTATGTAGCGTGCAACTGTAGCACAGTTGGATCCAAAATTCCTGATCAGTGTGACAGAAATAGTGGACAATGTTCCTGCAAGCCTAATGTTATTGGTCGCACTTGTGATCAGTGTAGGCCAGACTATTTTAACTTCGCCTCCGGTCAGGGTTGCCAAGGTATACCAGTTTGTGATATGCAGTACGTGCAAATTTAAACTACCTACAATAGATGAAATGATTGAGATTTCATGCGGAGAACGTAAATTGGATATAGCAAAAACAAGAAATTTTTCTTAGGTTTTTTTTGTGCCTCCTTGGGAAAAAATCCGCAAAATGAAAAGGGGAGGCTAGAGTCATTTTGCATTAATTTGGACTGGTTTTAACACAACTTCTTAAGGCTAGCTTTCATCTCTCCTTAAATTAGAACAGATAAGACCCAAATTTCTTCAAATCATAGAAAAGGCCTGAGCATCCAATTCTTCTTCAATTCTTTTCGTCTTTTTTTTTGTTTGTTTTTTGTTTTTGTTTTTGTTTTCACTTCTTTCAGCTTGTGCTTGTTTTTTACCTGGTGTCAACACCTCAGCGCACAGTGCCCTATGTGACAGAGATACTGGTCAATGTTTCTGTAACAGTGGTGTGCTAGGAAGGACCTGTGATATGTGCCGTAATCCTTCCATGAAATTAGGTTCCGCCAGTGAGGTTGGGTGTGTAGGTATGTTATTATGACTAAAAGGAAACACACGCTCCAGAAATCATATGTTCTTTATCTCCGCCATTACAAAGTGTGTACTGACAAAATTACGACACTGATTGCGTATTGCTATTCCAATGAGTTAACTAACTTTCGATAATTGTTTTCAAATTAACTGAAAATTGGACTACAGATGCCATCATTGTAAAATGCGCCTAACAACTTAGCTGCTCACCAAAAAACGTAACAAATTCGTACTCCTCTTCTTTTTATCTCCGTTTTGAATCTTACGCACAACTTTGACCGCTTACCCATGAAGCAAGAGAGTCACACCCCACCTTTTTTCGTCCCTTGGCAATGGCAAACTTTTCGAATAATGATTTAGAACTTTCTTAAAACGCAAAATGATTTTTATCGCGTGTTGTGGTTCGTTCTACTTAAAAGCCAAGGTGACCACTTACAAACCTTTTTTAAGTGCTCATCTTTCTCAAGTGTACACTTTCAGATTCGGTAAAGTGCGCACTTTCAGATTGGTAAAATTTTGCACCTTCAGACATTTTGAAGTGCTCAGTTTTAAGTTTGTAAAATTATGCACTTGAAGTGTTCTTTACGTGCATCATGATTCTTTTAGATTCGATGAAGTCCTCACTTTGATTTTGAAAGTGAGCACTGTAAGACTTGTTTGAATGAACACTTTTGATTTTAAAATGAACACTTTAAGACTTATTTAAGTGTTCATCTAACGACTTGCTCAAGTGTTCACTCTTGTACTCGATAAAGCTACGCACCTTAAGACTCTTTCAAGAGCTCAGAAAGGTTATCAAGGTGTGCACTGGAAGAATCCATTAAGTGCCCTTCTTCAGACTCGATGAAGTGCTTGCAATAATACTGTTGAAGAGTGCTCCTCAAGTCTCTTTTTAAGTGTGCTCTTTTCGACTTAGATTCTTTAAAGGGCTCATTTAAAACTCTTATACTTGCGAACTTTAGAACTCATTAAGTAAGCACTGATACGTTCTTTGAGATGGGGATCTTCGCGAGTCTTAGAGTGCAGATTTTAAGGCTTGGAAAAGAATGCTCTCTAAAACTTATGTAAAAAAAGCACTGGGAAAATTTTGACTGAAGCCTGAGACTTCTTCCGTCGGCCATTTTTTATTATGTTGCATATGTCCTCATTCGGCTTCTATAATGTATTTTGTAATTGAAACTTCAAGTTTTTACTTTGTTTAGTGGTATTTTACTTTTCAGTTCTCAAGTACTCACTCGTGATGCTCGGTCGCACAACAGCAGTGAGGATGGGAATCTAACTCTGTGACTGAGGAAGAAAACTGATAACTATTTGTATTTATGAGGATAACAATAATATGTCATTTCAGTAGACACTTGTCGTAAACTTGTTACGAAGAGTCCTTCCAGCAGGTTTTGGCGAAGATGGCAACACGTTTATTTTGATAAAATGATGAAGACAGCCATCATTACTTATCCTATCTTTTAACTATGGCATAATGACCGATTTTTCTTTTTTTTTTTGTATAATAATCACGTATAGGCATGTTTCAAAATGTTCTATGTATACAGATGCACTGCCTAAGAATCATTTATCATGAATTTATGAATAATTTGCTCTCGTATTATTCTTTTAGGATGATGCATTGACTTGACGCCTGAAAATATTGACCAGAGTTCCTATTTCAGCGACTTGGGTGTCTCAAGGAATACCTCGTGTTCTTCAAATGGGCATTGTTTATGTTTATTAGGTCGTTGTGTTACGTAGCCAATTCCAAGATCTCTTTGGAAAAAAGGTCTTTTGAACCACGGCTTAAAACTTGTTATGTGCAAATGACTCAAATTAAGTTCCTGGTGTGTATGAGAAATGACGCACAATTTAGGAATAAAGGACTGAAAGTGCATGGTGTTTTCCTGTTTTTTGTCGTTCTTGTTTTTGCTTTCACTTTCCTCCGCTAAGAGAGGAAATACTATTTCAAGGGTTATTTACACAAAATTGACCCAGAAGGAGCTGGACTGGGGTGCACTGAGGTGGTTCTATTTAGTTGGGGTTGATAACGGTTAAGTGGGCCGTTTTGTAGTGGATTGGACAAGATTAGGTCAGAATCAAGGTTAATCAGAACGGGGGATTGGCGTAGATAGATTGGAATGGGTTGGATTGGATTAGGGTGGATTGGCTTACTCAGAGTGAATTGAGAAGGACTGAAGTGAATGAAAGCGATTGGAAAGATGTTATTACTTACCCAGGTGTATTAGGAGAATTGAAGGAAAGTATTGAAGTGGATTGGCATCGATCAGAGCGAATTAAAGTGGGCTGGAGGGATTTAAGTGAATAGCGGTAGCATATTTAATAAATAGCATTTATTTATACCGCGCAAATTCAACTATGCAGTTTTCAAATGCGCCTTACAATTAAAGATCAAAAATTAAAATACCACATATAAAATATAACAATATATAGTCAAAATTACACGAATGAATAATTATCCAGTCTATAAATTACAATACTATATCAAAAAAGGCCTTTTTTAAAAAGGTGAGTTGAAGTGAATTGGGATGGTGTAAATTGGATTGAAGTAGGTTACACCATGCGGCTACGAAGATACCAAACCTGCATGGCACAGGTCAGGAAACTAGTTATTTCAGCACTTAAAGAGTGACAAAACATGAATTTGTGGGTGAGATGAATATCACTTTACCTGTTAGAAATAACTTCGGCCATAAGCTTCCTTTGATAAGGCTGAAAAAGGTGATTTAAGGAACTACTCATGATTAAGACTTTCCTGTCTTCGGAACTGATGAATAATATTGCTGGTGCGAGATGAAATTCGTATTGTTATCAACCGCTCACTTGATACAGCTGAATCTTTCAAAGAAACCACAACAAGGGTGAACATGTGGATTCGATACATCAAAGTAAATGAAGAGCAGGTTATAACATTACGAATGACTGAGCATTGTTTTCACTTATTAATCCTCTTGGCAGAAGACGAAGCATAAAGTTAGCACCTTTAGACCAATACACCAGTAAGTTACTTCTGGGTTCTAAGTTTCAAAATTTTTTAAGATTCATATTATAAAAATCGAGCAGGTGGAGAAAATTATAGCCTGTTGGCTGGCTACGGCACTGGCTAATACTCGCTCTGCGGTAATGATTTAGCTTTCTCATTGTTAGGTTAAACACTTTGAAGCAGTTACTTTGACTTGGTAAACGGAACTCCAATCTTAAGCGAGAATATTATGACCAGATAATTAACCTCGGTTATACTGAATGTTGATACTTAACAAAACAGCAGGGCCCAATTGTATACTTAAAGGTCGGATAACGCTATCCAACTGATAAATCGCTATCCAGCGAAAAAGTGATAGCAAAACGCATAGCGTTAACCACCGTATAGAGTTTTATCCAGTGGATAGCGTTATCCAGCCTTTGAACAACCGGGGCCAGATGTTAAAATTAAGCATTTAGGTGAAGTTAACGATTAAAAAACGTATTAACTCGCCACGTTGCTTGCTCGTATGAAACTCTAATGACGAGAAAATTTTGCAAAACTTAAAAGAAAATTTCAAGCCTTTCTTTTATAATTCTTCAGTAACTAGTGGAGAGCCCCATGAGCTCCAGTTTCTAAGGGAGCACAAGTGCTCTCCGTTTGTTTTCGCTCCGTTGAGCATCGCTTTTGAACGCTTCAGCCTCATAAATTTTCCATTATTGACGACTTCTTGTCAGAGCTTTATATTAAAGTAACATTTCTTCAAGTTTTGGATTACTTGTTGATTCGCTTATTGTACTAAGCCTTATTCCGGCATTCCACATTTCACCATTCCAGAATTATTATATTTACGATTATCCAAAAATCGCTAGGGACTGGTAAGTAAATCGGAATCGTGAATCACGGGAAGGAAATATCAGCCAAAATGGCTGTGTTGCAGGAAGGTGTTGAACACCTTCTCGCCATAATTTCCTCGTTTTCAAAGTCGCACATAGCTCCTTTGTGCACTGCGATTGTTAAAAGGTAAGTTTTTAACTACTTATCTTACATTCATCTTGATAATAGCACTTATTGGGTTAGTCTCTCCGAGAAAAGATCAGGCAATTCTCTATGAAATCGAAATTGATACATGCATATGTAGTAGCTACATTCAGGTGATGATAACACATCTGTTGAGTTGTAATCAGTACACTGCTCTCGCGTTATAACTACAGGTTTTAAAATCTTGTATCTCCAGGTCTTCTCATATGAGCGATCGAGCCATCTTACTCCCTGCTAAATTTCCAATTATGTTGACTCGCAGGGAATGTCTCAAATTTAAAGTTATTTTTTATTATTTTTGACATACACATGTACGGTGAAAGCTTACTCTGCAAATAAACGTTTGAGTCTGCATAACTTTCTAAGGACGTGCATGGAAACAAATTATTTTTATTGAGTTATCAGAAGCAGTATGGGGCAATTTATCGCATTGGTAGCAATTCCATAATACAGTCATAATTTAAATGCTTTACTTCTTTCAAGTCCTTTTCTGTGGACATCATCCTCTAGAGCTAAGCTTATACGATGTATGGCTGCTAGATTTTATATAGAGGATGTTAAGGAAACTCTATGTGAAAGGCCATTCTTTACCTTACACTTTAATGCTATAGGAAATCTTTTGTACACCCTCTTCATTGCCTGGAAATTTCTTTCTTTGATCATATTATTATTTTTAGTGAAAATATCATACTTGGAGACGATGATCGTGAAGGATTTTTTCATTCTTTTGTGGCACTGTCTGCTCATTACATTGGATTAAATGTTACACAGTGTAAGTATGACGAAAACGTTTCCTTCCATCTTATACACTATAGGTGGTAATTTTCTTCACGAAGTTGGTGTGAATTAGTTTTGCAGTGGAATTGTACTTGTACTTATAAGTAAGTCATCATCAAAGGGTTAGATATCGATAAGTATTACTCCAAGCACCTCTCAGTGTATGATCCTCTGTAGATAAAATTTGTTTACTCTCTGCCTCTTGAGAAGTGATTAACCTCAAGACCCCCTATACACAGAATGTCACTGAGCCTCATGTGACACCAAGAATTTCACTTTCTAACATACTCATACATGTAGCAGATAAATTTCTTCCTTGTTGGCAGAAAATTGTATTTTTCAAGGAAAAGTTCAATGTCAGCAAGTTGAGCAGCTAAGCATCGATTTCTTAACACTTTCCTTTGAGAATTAATGCATGCACATCTACTTTTAGCTTTCTTTAATATTATAAACACCTGTGCAAGTACAAATGTATGCAAATGGAAAATGAAATAGAAGCAATCTATTTTTTCAATAGTCTTGATACATACATAAATAAAAGTAATTTAACCCTTATACTCCCATGAGTTACCAAGAGAGAATTTCTCCTTACAGTGTCAATGCAATATCAAGCAGACAAGTGATGGGGATAAAGAAAAATAACCATAAGGGGATTTTTAGTTGATCCAATACCAAATTCTCCAAACTAACATCATATGAATTGTATGGTAGATAGTAGAGAGAATTACTGATGAGATCTTGGGAGTGAAAGGTAAAAGGTTGAGGGTTCAAGCCGTGGTCTTAAAATAGGTTCTTAAAATAACTGATGAGAATGTGCTTCCTTTGTATTGACTTTTGCAAATGGTTAGACATTCTAGTCCTCTTGGATATTGCTGGAAAGAGGTAGGCCCCATTTCTTGCATCTTCTCTGTACTGGTTAGCAGGGAATACAAAAAGACCTACCCACTTATTGTAAAGAGAAGGGAATGTAGCTCCTGAGGTTGTGGTCAGGCCTTAATTCTGAAAATGGGGACATCTGCAAAATTTTTCTTCAAAAATTATAAACTGCTCGACGCAGTCTGGTTAAAGTCTCCCATAAACTATCGTAAAGTACCCTGAGCCAATGGACATGGCACTATAGAAATTCTTCATTACTTATTGTTATTCATTAGTATGTTTGTTTTGAATGCCACAGGTGGTGCCAACTTGCAAATAATCATCAAAGCATGTAAAGTACTCTTGAAATTTTCTCTTTTGGAATTGGAGAGAAAAAGGGAAACTAATCAACCCTTTGTGAAGGTGCAGTTGAAGTGAATTACAAACACTGTTTTTTAACTATTAAACATGCTTAGTAGATCAGATAAGAGTTCAAATGTGTGGTTTCCCCTCAGAGCAGCTATATCATGGAATATATATCATTTTGATATCATGTACAAACCCTTTGCTAGTAACATAATCAAAACTCTTTTTAACAATTTACCAAGGAAGAAAATAAACAGTGTTACATGATTGGCACTCAGTCTAAATAGATGTACATATATTTTTATCATTATTTAGAAACATTATTTAGTATCCATCATTGAAGGCCTTTGTAAAGGACATGGTTGTCTAAAGAGAACAGAAATTGTCACTCTGACAGCAATCTTGAAGTCAGCCAATGTGTTGAAGGATACTGGCAGTGCAACAGAAAAACAGAAGGATACGTCCCTTAGTCAGGGTGAAGACTTTTTTCAAAGGCTTCAAACAGCATTTACTGAGACAGGAGAAGGTCATTCAAGCCTCATCAAAGACAAGAACAGGTATTTTACTTTCCAACTATTGTAAAGGCGTAGATGAATCAATTTGATACATACATGTATATGTGGGATTTGGAAAGTAAAATTGAATACAATTTATGGTGATTAGCATGTAAGGCATTACCATTTAAGTGACCATTTGTCATGAGTTTGTAACATAAATACTGAGAATGGGGTGTCAAAAATCGCACTCAATTAGTACGTAATGCATTGGATATAACCTGATATTGACAGAGGTAGGTGCATGTATAGCTTTAAGATCTTACAGTGAGCAGAAGGTAGAGATTTTACAGTACAACCCTACTGTATTTCAAGCTAGGCAGACATGTTAGAAGTAATGAAACTGGTTTCCATATTTAGTGCTCTTCTGACTGAGAATTTAGTGAGCCACCCCAAGACCTTTCTCTTTGATGATTCTTGTACCAATTCAAATGAAGAGTGCATTATGGTGTTTTCTGTTTGTGCAGGGCAGAAAATGAGAAGAGTTTGTCCTCTGATCCAAGTAGCACCGATGTCAAGAGCTTCTTTTCTAACTGCAACGTGGCAGCCCTGAGACAGCTTGGAGGTGGAAGAGTTCTGTTAGACCTGTGTCTTTCCTTGCCTGAATTTTCAAAGATTGCATCCAAACCAGAATCATCAGCAACTTTGATTAGTTTAACATCCTCAAGGTGTGTCCTCAACTTACAGCACTCCAAGTTGCAAACAATTTGGTTTGCATGAGGAATACAAAAAAATTTTTGGCTGCTACATATTTAAATTTTCAGCAAAAGTCACCAGAGCCTAGTTGTTCAAAGGCAGATTAGTGCTAACCCAAGGTTAAATTTTAATCCAGGTTTCTTTATTCCTTAATTCAAAAGCCTTTTTGTAATTTACCCTGTTTTAACTCTCTCACCAAAGCAGCACAACAATTTCTTTAGAAACTTTCTCCTTTGTTCATTTACCTTTTTCAGACAATTTTCTCGATTCTTTTTACAGCATCCAATCATCAAGTTGTGGAAAAAATAATTATGCAGAATTTTCTTTTTAAAGCTCTCAGATTTGAAATCAGATTTCATACGAACTCTGGGTTATCTTAACCCAGCTTTGAACAATCTGGCCCAGACTGGTAACCTGTGTTTATGACTTTAACTTAATTTCATTTAATATTATGCTGTAAGTGATCTGTCATTGTCTCCTTCCCTGGGTAGGGCTAGAGTTTTAAACCACTTTACATTACTCCAACTTGTTTGAAATTGTTAAAATTACCAGTATGGTATTTTTTTTATTCACACCACTCCTTTTTATATCATTATTTGAACTTCTGCATGTTTCTTTAGATGTCTTTAAAGCAATGTACTAAGAACTTGAAATTCCAAGTAATTTATCTATTGCGAAGTTTTTAGGGATCAGATGCAGGACCAAACAAGCTTATAACTTTAAACTCCTTCCTTTCTGGATGAAGATCATGATGATGATAATTACCCCATCATTGTTTTTTATATGTGTTTAAAACTTACTTGTGAAGTTCTTGTTGCAGTATTCAGAGTCTGTCCTCAGAGCTGTTGGTTGTGTCCAGCATAATTTCCATCCCAATACTGGAACCTCTCTCAGCAGCTAGAGTTGAGAAAGTCTGTCAGCTGGCATTAGGATGCTTGGATGTGGCTCTGACAATTGCTACAGGAAACTTCAATATAGTAGGAGCTGCAGGTGGGTGAAATTGAAACACCTGTTACTGGTACATAATTAAGGGCTGATGCACAAAAACAGCAGCAAAGAATTTGGCTTTCTTGAAATGAATATACAACACTCATAAAATCCTCTAGGAGATACAGTGTATATTAACTCTTATTTGGGCCTTCATTGTTCTGAGACAGCTGGAAACTTTTTCCTCATGAAAAGTTAGTTGTGCAGAAGCTGGGCACTTTGTGAGCAGAGTTGAAGCATTTTTTGCAAGAACAAAGAAGGAAATCTTGAGGCCAATCAGAACACAGAATTTGGGCCCAGACAATGGGCATCACAATGCACACTGTGAAATACCCTGTTCCTCATGTTAGTATCCTTTTATTTTCATTTAGGAACAACAGGTTTGAGTCGACCACTCTCAGTTAAAACACTGGGAAGGTCTTCCTTGTCAAAAGCTTCTGGAGCAAAATCTGTCAGCAAAATGTCTGGTGAAGAAGAAAGCCTTGAAAAATGTGCCCAAACCATTGTAGAAAATTGTGTAAGTACACTTGGGTGTTTCTGCCTTGTAGTACAGGTTACTGCCATATTGGAGATCAGATTTGTAGTAAGTTTTTGTTTATCATATCTTGGTAGATCAATGTGTTTGATGTGATATGCGGAGTAATACAATCCTCATCTCGGGCTGGAGGTCAGGTATTGCAGAATGTTCACATGCTAGCGGCACACAGGATTATTCAAAGCCTTCTTCCTGTTTTGGGACTTATTGCTGAGGATGGTACATCCAAGGAGAGTGCTGCTTCTAAATTTAAATGGTTGGTGTCCATTTGAAATTATAATGGTTATGTTAATATAAATACTCATCAGACAAGCACTCTTTTGATTGAAGGAGAGATGATTGGTGCTATTGGTTTTGAACATAACTCAGTGTTGAAGGACACAGGGTTGTCAAAATAAGGTGGCAATTGGTGCAGAATCTTTTTGACAACCCTGGTAAAAAAACAAACTTGTTTGATTCTTTTGTAATATGTTGATCAATTTGAAGCTTCAATATCCCCCCTGGACAACCCATGGGTATTTGACCATTGTCCATGCCTAGGGGGTGGGGAATTTGAACATTGCCTGGCTGGGGTGGGGAAGTTGAACAATTCTTCCAGTGGAACTAAAGTGCTTTTATAATATCTTTAAATATGGAGGTTTTTAAGGCAAATAGTTTACTTTGGCAAGAGAATGGCTCAGAAGAAAAGGTTTAGGTTTTAAAGCTTGGTCAATATGTAGAAAGCCATGGTGGCTGATTTTGCCTTTTTCAAACAAATTGGATGGGGCATTTGAAGACATTTTTTGTTGCATGGGGGGAGGGGGAGGGGGCAGGAATTTATTTGAATGAACCAAAGCCTCAGGGGCTGTCTTGAAGGGGGAATGTTGAAAATAATTTATATGACTTGTTCATTCTACTCAGCATTGGTTATAATTTACAAAATCACTTGTCTTTGAGTAGAAAGGGAGGTAAGTGTTTTTCAAGTCTTCAAATACAAATTTTCATTGTAATTTTGTTCATTTGCATTAAAGGCTACAAGGAGTGAACACACTGGTGGTTGTGCTTGCCTCACGAGGAATCACTCTCCTGTCTTCACTTTTGGAAGAGCTGCAAGTGGAAGGATTACTGACAGACCTTGAAGATAGACATTCTTCAGTTGGGTCTGACTTCTCTGTCAATTCACGTTGCTCTGCATGGAAGAGAGTGACAAAGCTGATGGATGAACTGCCTCTGTTGAATTACCTGTTTGCACAGTTCTCTACCTTGTACAAAATGGTAAGGCACACCAATACACTTAACCCTTTTCCCCCAACCATCGGTAGGCATATTCTCCTCTCTGTTCTCTATGCATTTCCTCTGGTGCTGACAAGGAGAATTTGTTTGACAGTCAGGGACTTAATTCTTAAATTGGTGATTATTTCCTTCATTCTCATGACCTTTATATTTTATTCAATGGTGATACTGTAAGAAGAAACTAGAAGCCAGTTACTCTTTAAGGGATTTAAAGGTTAAATAACTAGCAGCACATCTTACCTTCTGCTTGACTTATACCATACCCTGTATGAGCTCCTGCCTTTGGTGCCTTCCATTGTAAAATTGGGTATGCTTATGGGTATCATGTGTGGTTAAATAATTTTATTATGTGAGTTGAATATCTCAAAGATTATGAAAATGATGGAGATGAATTATTGTTTAAGAGGTTGTTTTTGTTTTTAGTTGTGATCAGTTTATATTTTTTTGTTTTTAACCTTACATCTTGATTGTTAAACATCAACAGGCAACTGCCATGATCACTCCAGCAGTATCAGCAGGTCAGGCATCCTCACGACCAAGCTCAGCCAAATCAGACAGCTCAAAATCTCCAGCTACATCATCAGACGAAGGAGACAGTGAATACATCTCTTACTCTGATGGGAGCAGTGAAGGTACTGTACTTTTCATCTCTTGTGGAAATGCTAACATTGTTATTTACTCTAACAAACGTTAACAAACATTCACCAAAGTGGAAGAGGCAAGTGGTGGATATTTACCAAGTTGTGAAGCCACAAGGTAAATATCCACAGCAAGCCACTAACACTGAAGTTAATAGTTGTTTAGTTTATACTGAAAAAGTGAGATTATAGAGCACAATGGGTCTTTAACTCATTTATTCCTGCAACATTTACATTTTTACAGGCCAAAATCCTATGCACATTGCTCGAAGGTGAATGGCAAAGGATATTTAGAGTTTGGGTAGCCAATTGGAGTGCACCTTCATTGCAATCCACTGTTTTAGTTTAGTACTAATCTTAATTATTAGCATTGATCATGAACACCTGCACGATTATGTGCTCTTTGAACATTTTACTTTTGAAATTTATACCTGCTTTTGTTGATATAAACTTGTAAACTATGGGAAAATCTTACCAAAGCACAGTAACATTTGATGCACGACCCATGTGTGTGGGGAAACAAAGTTTAAACAGCTATCTTTTTTCAAAAAGTGAGCCCAAATTTACCATCTTTCTTCACTCAGTTATTAATTTAATCCTTTAACTCCCAAGATCTCATCAGTAATTCTCCTTACTGTCTGCTAAATTTCATTATGTTAATTTGGATAATCTGGTATCAACTAGTAATCCCACAATGGATATTTTTCTTTATTCTCATCACTTGTCAACATGGGTTTAAATCAGCCAGTTTACAATGCAGTTCTGGTTGGCTGGCTACATTTAGCAAGGGGTCACATTATTGGGGACAAACTTTGCAATTTGTTCGTTTGTGAAATTTTAGCCCAGCTGGTGACTTAGGAATTCTGACTGGACTCTAATAACTATGTTTTAATATCAATAAACAGCTGTGAAACTTTGAACATTATCTTGCATGGCCCTCTACTTGGTAACTTTAAGCAAGAAAATTTCTGATATGATAATATTTGTTCAATCTGTAATCTAGACGAAGAATCATTGCTTGGTCAGTGGTTTCAAGACACGTTATCATCAACACCAGCAATTCTATCTGCCAGCCCACAACCCCCAACAAGAAAGAAATCAGAAAGTGGAGATGTTGGAGACAGTGGGACAGAGACTACACCCTCTGGACGGTCATTCCAGATGGCACCTGAGGAGGTACATGTGATCTAATACAAAAAATTTACTAGAATCCTTGCTTAAATTGGGGGTGGGTGCCCACCCCCCCTTTCAGAAAGCTACCTATGACTGGGAGGTCTGTGCAACCTAGTTCCCCATCCATTATTCTGAGCCTCAGTGAACACAAGTCCTCAGTAGGAAAACACTTTAAAACAATGGCTACACAACTGCTAAATGTATATACATGTATACAGTTTACAGATTCTAAGTTCTATTGATCTAACTGCACAATACAGTCACAAACTGCTTGTGCAGTATACATGACTCTTTTGACTAAACATACTGTGGGGAAACCTAACTGAGACTTGTCTTTAGTGACATCTGAATTTGTACTTCATGTTGAGCTTTTTTCTTGGCAGTACATCTACCTGGCAACATGCACCCTCCAGTTCTTATCCAAACACTTATTGAGCAGCTCAATACCAGAAATGACAGAGTATGTTAGCCATTCCTTTACTGAGACACACATCATTGGGCTTGTGGGAGTTGTCAAGGATCTGGATCAACTAGCTGTGATCAGCATGCCAAGTTATGTTGACATGGACAAGCTTTGCAGTGCTGTTGATCAGGCAGTCCACCTGCTTCTTGTATCAGACTTGCTGACACAACATCAACAGGCAAGTTGAGACAAAGGCCAAGTTTATTTACGGTGTACATGTTATGTTTTTCAGGTATGATGAGTCACATAGTCCAAGGGCTGGTTACTGAAAATGACCAATCAGTAAATGATTTATTGCCAGTCATACATAGTCAAGTAATTTTAAATCAATGGAACTGGAATGTCCTGTGTGATCTGGCAGAACATTTTTGCCTGTTCAACTCGAGTAGACAGAAGGTGTAGAAGATGTTGTATGTAGAAATTGTTGTAAACCTCTTGAATTGGTTGCTGAAAATATTGGGTTTATTTCAACTTCTCTTTGTCCTTCACAGCTTAGTTTGGATAAAGCTTTAAAATTGGCCATTCAAATAGTGTTTGTTGACTGTGGTAGTCTCAGATTGTAGTTCTTGCTTACCAAGGTCAATGAAAAGTTCACAGGTTGATTTTTAGCAACATATTCTTTTCTATCAGGATGTTTTCCTCAGTCATCTGGGTTTGGCACCTCTAGGTCATGGACCATGGCCATTAAAAGTGAGTCAACGTTGTCTGGGTATCCTTGCAAGGGTGTTACTGGCTCGACAGCAGAAGGCATTGCAAATTTCTAGCACTGGGATGGATATTGAAGAATGCATAAATGTTTGGAAAAGGTTGATTGACACTCTTAAAGATTACTGTCTCACAAGTGAGGATTTTACTCCACTTACCATTCCAGGTACAGTATATTTGAGTTATATGCTGCTTAAATTACTCCCAGAAGTGATTCACATGTAACTTCTCCCAACAATATCCATACACTATCCAGCAGACAGGTAATGAGAGTATTCAAATGTATCAGGTAGAAGTTGTCATCTTGACCTAACACCAAATTCTCGCAACTAATTAACAAGGAAATGAGTAGCAGCTAGAGGGGAGAATTAACAATCAGATACTGGGAGTTAAATAGTTAATTCATTGTACTTCTGCACAATCAGATTTGTTCTACAATGTGTATTCTACATACAGGATATATGCAGTGTAGTACTCACAGCATAATGTGACAGATTTCACTGGTTCAATCATTGGTTGTTACTGGATTTATTCATTGTAGTTCATGATAATTGCATTGCATCAACTCTAGTTGGTTTTTTCAGTCATTTCCATCTGTCTTCTTTAGTTACAAGTTTTAGTCATAAGGAGGTGTAATTTACTTTACAGAAAACTGTTTTCCTTGTGGACACAGTGAGAAAACCATTTGAGATGTTTCTGTTGAACTTTAAGGACCACATCTAGTCTTCC